ACTAGCAGCTACAAACAACTCCTTTCAATCCCAACCGAACCACCGAAACTTCAATCTAGCAGCAAACCAACCAACCTATACTCATATTCAACAGCCAGAACCAACAGTATATCCTCATCAACCTCAGATCAACAAATAAGAGCAAGTAGATCAAATTCCACATAAGAAGGGTAAACCGATACAATCCACACATCACAGACAAAGATAAGGCAAATGCGATGCAAAATGCAATAATGATGTCATGTAGTCGTGATGCATGTCTGTCCTACGATACACATCTGTTGACGTAATCAGTCCGCGCTGAATACTCAAATCAGAACCCATGGGGGCCACACATGGACCATGTATCACCGCCGGAACCAGATCCCATCGGCATCCAAATCGCTAGTCGGAGCTAGTCCATCTCATATATCTCTAGCCGGAACTAGTCTCAACTGTGTCTCATATCCATCCATCATCATATCAGTGTCTCAGAACTCATGCAACAGATAGTTCACACATGTGATGAATAATGAATATGCACATATCATCAATCACAATCATATCACGATCACATCATAATATTGTTGACACCCAATTTTGACCCTCCCCGATAATAATTAACTTCTGAGCTTCTTAATTTTCAAACGATTTAAAATGATTAGATTTATAAAATTCAAACAGTTTCAAGATTAGTTTAAATAATTTCAGTTGATTTTTATAGTTTTGAATAATGAATATGTTTCATATAATTATATACATAATTAGTATATTTTACAAATGTTTGAAAATCATATCAAAGATTTTACTTTGTTAAAATAAATATTTTATTAATTTAGTTTTTAGTTCGAATTATAGTTTTAATCTTGGATTAATTAGTTCATATATAAATCGATTAGTTTATAATTAAGTTAATTATTTTATTTCGTTAAAATTAAAGAGCTCATAAATTAATTATATTAATCCGTACCTCTTGAATTCTAGCCGAACTTATCCTACTCAACTAAATTTGGATACGTCTTTAAGCTCCACTTGGTTATGACTTAGATTTGTATGGCTAACTTAAATTCAATTTTATCTTGATTAATTTTTTTAAAACACCAAAATTTTGGGCTTTTTTCCATTCCCTTAAAATGACCCAAATGCTCAACCCATTTCCCATTCTGGTTCCAATTCATTTCCTCCAACAACCTATTGTCTTCCAATTCCCTTACAATTCCCACCGACCCAACACATTATTTGAGCAGCCCATCAAATTATGACCCAACCCGGCCCATTCATCTATTCTCAAAAGAATCCATCAACCTTTAACAACAGTCCAAACACGTTCACTGAAGCAAACGGAAAAGCAGCGAGGAACAGAGACGTACGCTGCGAATTCTGTTTCTTCTCCAATGTCCTTATCGACATTTAATATCGTAACAACAAAAGGGAGCACGCGTTTCTCCCCTTTCCCTTTTCGGAATGAGTTGAAAATTGCAAAGAAAGGGGTGTCTGGCCGAAAATGGTGAAAGTTTTTTAGATTTTGAAATTTGAATGGACCCTTGAATCTAAAAGGGGACCCGAAATTCCCCCCATATCAACCCTAATAGTCCCCTATATATATTTTCTTCTTACTCACATGAGGGGGGATTTTTTGGAGTTTGAAAAGTTTATGTTGAAGAAAATGTTGAGAGAAGCTTGGAAAAACAGAGGGGAAGAAAGTTTCAAAAAATAAATAAATATAAATACAAGAATACATACAAGGAAAAATCAGTAGTTATACTCAAGCTAGAATCGATAAAAGATTTTCTTTTGTGCTTGCCATTGGAAAAACTTGTCGGAATCTCGTCGTGGTAGTGAAGTCGCCGTCCCTCTGCTCGCTCTGTCTCGGTTCACTGCCCTCATAAAGTTTTGTTCTTTTCTATGTATGAACCGGCTCCTCCCGAGTCTATTTTGGACTCCACCCCTACATATCCGAGTTGATTTCCCATCGAGTCAACCCCCTTTCGAGCTAAAGAATTGACGAACAGGTCCCGAGAATTGAAAGAAGCAACAGATCGAGAAAATCGAAAATTTGGGCCAAGGGCCCATTCTTAATTCAAAAAATTGTATTTTTGGGCCTAAGCCCACTTATTAGCTATTTTATGTTAGCTTAGGATAGGTACAGGTGATTCAAATGAGCCAAAAGCTCAAAACGAAAAAGGGCCCAAATACTGGCCCAGGCGGACAGAAACCAGATTTGGGCCCAACTCTCTATCCCTCTCTACTTTACCGTGTTCATTTTACTTGTTAGTATTTGCCGCTAATTTTAAGGTTGAACAATTCGAATCCCCGAAAGATACCCATTTCGAATTAATTACTTAACTAAATTACTCATCTTTCACTTGACTTAAAAAATAAATAAATGATAAATAAATAAATTTATGAAATGCTTCACTTAGATAATATTTCATTATTTTTCTATTAAAATGGTTTCAACTATAAAGTAGTTCACTTTTGCAATTCAAGATAAGTTAAAATATTTTAGCCAAATAATTAATTGTCGGATAACCGCGTATTAGCGGACATTCTGGGGTGCTTTTAAAAAACCTTCCTAGAATGTTAATAAGAACCTCGAACCCTTTTTAAGTTTTCAATAGATTTACTGTTTTAGTCTTTTGAAAACAACAGTTTTCTTGATTTTTCTTAAAAATTAAGTGGCGACTCTTAAACCAGTCCAAATAATATTTTAAATAAAACAAATATTACACATCATCTGTCTCAATCACAACCATATCACGACCACATCATAGTATTACACATCATCTGTCTCAACATCAATGTATGTATCAATCATAGCCTACTCATGCTCTTCTATCCCCTCAATATCAGTTATCACATGACTTATTCAACAAATTCAAGTCACATATAACACATTTAGCTCGTTTTATTTCCCCATCTTTCATTTACAACAATTTCAATCAACAAATAAAACTCATCCTCAATCCCCATTACTCCCCAACACAATTAGGAAAGTAGTCATGCGTAGTCTAAGAGTTTTACAAAGTTTGGAAGCCACTTGCCTTAAAACGAACTCCAAAAGTTACTTGACTTGAGCCCTTTCCTTTCCGAGTATAATCCGGATCACGATAATCTATTCAAACAATTATTCACAATCACAATTCGAGTCCAATATAAATGGAATCCCACAATCAATACGAATCTAACAACACCAATATCGTGAAATTTGGAGAACAAGGGTAAAATGGTCAAAAATCTCGTTCCGGAAAATATTCTCGAAATCTGGAAATTTTTAGTGAAAAATGTTCCCCAAGAAATTTAGAATCCAATAGTGAAAACCGTTTCGAAAAAGGAGTTGAAATTAATTCACAAACTCAATTTGAAAGAAAATCCACGTTCTTGAAGAAGCCTAAAATATTCAGATCCGAAACTCCAACCCGAAAATGAAATATCTCTTAAAAAACATCTTACTCATGCTTAGATAAGTTCAAATATGAAATTTCATCAAAAAACGGAGTTAAGATCGACCTTGAAATTCTCAATTTATCAAACTTTAACTTTACCGGAAAGTCCAAATTGTACGCGTTTAATATGATGAAAATAATCGATGAATCAATAATTTTTATGTTAAAATCAGTTTTACCCATAACATAAGGATCGTAAATATATCTTTTTTATCAAAAAGGGAGTCCAAATCGATAAAACCCCAATTTTTCCCAAGAGATTTACGGATAGGAAAAAAAACCAGATAAAGAAATTATGAGAAAATGTCGAATTGAAGATTGAATACTAACTCTCATATTAATTCAAGAAGAAACCCGTAAGAATCATTCCATTCCGATCTCTAGAACTCCAGATATGCTCAAAATACCAAATGAACACAGTCTGAGATTTTTATAACAGTACATGGCTGTTATGCACCAGAAAAACAGCAGTTAATCTTTCACTAAAAAGGCCGTAATTTCCTCATACGATAGTGAAATGACCCGATTCTTTTTTATAAATGTCTTAAATAATGATACGGACCTGCTCGTTCAATCGGAGCTCAATTTCATGCTCGTTTGCCCAGTCAAATATCATTTCTACTCGGTAAACAATTATTTCTTATTTGCGATAAAAATCCAATCTCGGGTTAGCGAAAATGCACCAAAATTTGCAGATAAGTCCTATAATTCATGATCAAAATTTCAGAACCTTCAGAAATTTTTTTCGACCTTTAAAACTAATAATGAACCCTTTAGTTGCCACAATTTGCTGAAATAGTGTCAAAGCATCCAAGAAGCTTAAAAGCTCACCCAAAACTCATTTGGCACTTCCCGAACACAAACCAAATATGCTACTAGCTTGAAAATGACATTTCGGACTCAATGAAATCGTCGGAATTTGAATTCGAGGTCTCCTTGACCCGGTATCCGATAAGGCGTCAAGAAACTAACTTTAGGCTCAAAAACTCGAAACGCACTCGGGGCCTCTAAAAATTCAACCAAGACTCATTCTAGACTTAGAATCACCCCCTGAATCCAACGGTGCCCTCGGAATTCCATTTCGAGCACCGGAACCTCGTTTGTTGACCAAAGTCAACTCTTGATCAAAATTTCACAATTTTAGCAACTTAGGACCTCAAATCTTCGTTTTAACTCCAAATTCGACTCAGTAAATTCTCATAGACCCATTTCAACATTCTAAAATTGCTGGAATCGACGGAAATCCGATTCGAGTCTCGAAACTCCAAATGACTCGAAATAGCACTTTTAACCAAACTTTAACTCTTAAAAACTCAACTTTCCAAAAACTCAACTTTTCATCAATTTTCCTTCAAACCAACTTCAAAAATACAACAATTAGGACTCGGGGCAACTATCGGGAGGGGTAAAACGGTCATTTTATGAAAATTTCCAAAAATGACTTTTAGGGTCATTACAAGGCTAACCTTAGACAAAATCTTGGCTAAGTGGGGTGTTGGTCATATGAGGATGAGTGGGGTGTAATGTCTAGGCGGCATGTGTTGAAGCAGTAATTTTTCCATTTTCGTTACTCAGGTATGACAAAATTCATAAAGGTAGCACAAGTGAAGATGAAACTGGATCACGATTAGGAAATGCAGCTACCAAGTATGTTGTAATTGAAGAAATGGAAGATCAAGACCATGGTCCTTGAGGTTTTACATATGACATTCTAACAATGTTGCGCTCTGATGGCGTTTTGTATTTGCAACGGAAGGAAATGGACAAAAAAATGCGTAGATTTTCTAGCAAATGAAGTTCAAGTCGTATACATGAAGAAGATTTGTTAATCAAGGAAGATGAGGAAGCTGAGTTTTTTCACCTAGTAAACTTTAAGACATGTGGCTTATAGAAGGGAAATTTATTACTCCCTATGTGCTAAAAAAGTAATGATATACATTTTTATAGTTAGTAAAAATTTAACTTTTAAACTTCTCATTTTACCCCTAAAGTTAGGGGTGAAAGTTTGGTATTCAGTTCAAGATTTCCAAATTTTGAGTTCGATAGTTAAAAATAGATTCAATTCAGTATGGTATTCAGTAATACCGTATTAAAGTTGTAGGATTTGGAAAAGAATGATCACAAATCTTTCTACTTTTTGTTTGTTAAAATCATGTCCTTTTCTGACTAAGTTAAAGAAAAAGAGAAATTGGTCTCTTCTTTTGTTTAGATGATAATGTTAGTGGAATGTGAGACAAAATTATATGAATTAAAGTTTGATTTCGATATGTAATCCGATTGATTTGATGTTATTTTTATTCTTTATTTGATTTCAAGTATGCATAAAAACAATGTAACGTATATTTTACATCCACACAAATATCTATACATATTTTTAGTTTAAGATTACAAAAATTTTAAAAGTCGTCTATACTTTCATAAAATTAATATCCCATGAAACTAAGATACACAAACTAAAACTAGCGGAGTAACTTAGTACTAATTCGATTTGCTTCATACATTGTTTTAGTACTAGACATATAAGCTCGTAGCTAACACAGACTCAATAACATACATAGAATTTGGAAAGACAAATAATTATTAACACGATTATTATTAATTTACGAGACTTTTACGATAATTTTTTTCTATTCAAATTTATGTGATACAAATTAATTTTCGTGTGTATTATCCCATGAATTTGGCGCCTCGGAGCACCCAAAAACATTTTTTGAAAAATCTTTATGAGGACCTCTGTAATGAGTTGGGAACCATCGCTTATACTCACACTATTTTTCTTAACGCTTATTTCCGGATTTACTGACCCTTTTTTAGGAATTACGTAAAAAAATTCAATTTTTGGGTGTATTAGCCTATGGATCTGGCGCATTAGAGCACCCAATTTTTTTTTCTGAAAAAAACTTTATGAGTAATTATGTAATGAGTTAGAGATCACCACGTATACTCACACCAATTTTAACGACTATTTCCGCATTTATAGATTTTTTTTTTAGAAATTACACAAAATTCTTGATTGTTCGTGTGTATTAGCCCATGAATCTGGCGACTCAGAGCACCCAAAATTATTTTCTAAAAAACTTTATGAGAACCTCTGTAGTGAGTAAGGGAACCACCATATATACCCACACCATTTTTAATAGCTATTTTCGCATTTATAGGCCATTTTTTTATGAATTATGCAAATTCCTTGATTTTTCGTGTGTATTAGCCCTTGAATCTAGCGCCTCAGAGCACCCGAATTTTTTTTATGAAAAAACATTATGAGGACTTCCGTAATGAGTTAGGGAACCACCATATATACTCATGCAATTTTTTAATGCCTATTTCTGCACTTACAGACCTTTTTTTTAGGAATTATGCAAATTACTCAATTTTTAATGTGTATTAACCCATGAATATATTGGTGATATGGCTTTCAGACGAATTTTTTGTAAAACTCTTTATGGAACCCTTCAAAGGGAGTTGGGGGAGCAGTACGTACAATTTTACCATTTTTAGAGTGATTTATGGGCATAAGGAGTCAATTTACATTAGTTAGGCGATTTTCTCAATTTTTCATGTGTATTATGTAACATCCGGCAATTTGAAATAGCTAAGAAGAGGCTTAGAATTTGAAAATTTTCAATTTTTGGAAAGGATTTGAAAATCTAGAAAATTTGGCTAAGTATGGAAATCAGTGATTTTTGGCCAACTTTGAGCAGTCATAACTTCTAACTCAGGATGAGTTAGGAGTAGTTCCAGTTATGGTTGTGAATCTTGTGGAATGATCTTTCCAACGCCACCGAGTTTGCTCAATTCCGAGTTCGTATGAGCGAGTTATGGCCTTTGAAAGTTGGGCAGTTGACAAGGAAATCCGTCCGGGAATCATTAAGGGCATTTTGGTCTTTTCCCTAGCTATTTCTTTTGAGGATGTATTGTTGTATAGGGCTGATCTTTGGATCATTTTGTTCCATTTTTAAGAGAGTGAAGGCTAGGGCTTGAGAGTGAAGAAGAGAAGAAGA